TTAAATTGAGGCACAGGACAAGCAAGGCAGCCGCACACTGGTCCGATGATCAAAGAGCGAGAGACAAGAAAGGCGAGACTCACCAAGCCATTTATCTCTCTGCCCTTCAGTTAATCCCACTTGTGTTTATCGGCCAGGCTGGCACAATAAACTATCTCATAATGGAACTTACATATCATACCTGTTTTGTTAGAATCAATGAGAAAACATGCGCTTCATGCTCAGCCTAGCACCTGCATCACAGTGTTCAGTTAATTTCAGCTACAGTCTGGGGAATAAGGTAGGTCCATACCAGACCTCCAATGACCTACTCTCCAGGCCACTGTCAAAGACCGGGCTGATCTGACCCCGTCCCTCCTGATGCATACATGACCTTCCGTGGCGGCCCTGGTCCTCAGTATGAAGTTTGAGCTCTGTGAATGGGAGCTTACCATGTGTTGCCTCACAAACAGCCTTCTTTGGAAGTGAGGGGTGAAGTTGGGGAGAAAGAGAAGCAAGCCCACCCGGCTACATTATCTAGCCAGACTCCACTATGGCCAGCTGGCTTTTCATCCTCCTGTGGAACTCTTAGCAGCCGTGGAGAACAGGAGCCCACCTAAGGCCAAAGCCCGAGGAACAACCTACCTATCTCTCCCTGGAGCTCACCTCCCAGTGTGGCCAGGTCCCCACTGCCATCCACCCACAGCCGAAAACCCTGTGCCAATGGGATGCAGCCTCTGGCAGGTTGAGTCAGCCTTGGGTACACGGAGGGTCAAGGCCCCAGGCTTCCAGGGTGGGCTGATGCTGCTGGGCACCTCACGACCTCCAATTCTCCTCTCTTCACACAGGAAAGCTGCACCACACCTGTGACTGGAAGACTCGTGGGCATCTGAAGACAGTGTAGCTCTCCTTGCCTCCAAGCCTTGCTCTCTGTAGGCCCGCCAGTCTGTACCAGTCTTCCCCAACCCCTCTTTACTCAGCCCACCCCACTAGTCTCAGCCTCGGCTGCCTTCCCTAATCACAGACAGCCCCAAGGTACCTTCTGACTCCCATGTGAGACTCTAAGCCCTGGCCGTGGCCTGGGCAGCTCGACCCTCGAAGCCCAACCTTACGAGGTGGAGCACAGCCAGGGGAGGCCCGGCGGACCTCGAAGCCCGTGTCTGGGAAGGCGAGGGAACAACAGAGCACTCCACGCACCTGCTCACAACGGCAGGTGCCCTCTGACCTAGTTCTCATGAGAAGCTCCGGCTTTGAGGACAGACCAGGAAGTAAGCTCAACAAGCTGTTCCTACAGAGGAGACAACACAGACCCAAGTAGGGCTTCAAAGTGTGTCACCACAAAGAGTCACGTGGACTCTGTGACGCCATGCACAGCCCGCCTCCGAGCACCTGGCAACAGCCCACCGACTGAGTGTTGGCGATTGAACTGTGTCCCCCACCCTAAGTTATGTGCTATTTTGTCTTCAATTCCAAATTATGTGATATACATGTTAGCGCTGCTTACTCGTGTCGTAATCTGATATGGAGGGGAGGTCTCTGCCTGTCAGTGAGAACAGATCAGTGTGGGTGTGTCGTAAGCCAAGCACTCCGGAGGTATTGAAGAGCAAATCCGCCACCAAAGCTAAAGGAACCACATGAAGATCGCTGCCAGGAACCCAGGAACAGAAGCTGCAAAAAGACAAGCAGCGCTGATGCCCCAAAGCTGGACTTCTAGCTTCCTGTGAGAGACCAAAATGTTTGTCAGCGGCAGCCCCGGGAGTGGGGGGGGGGTGGGGTGGGGGAACTTCTGCTCTAGCAGCACTGTGGGTTGAGCAGCGCAAAGTGACAGGTGGGGGCCACACGGTGAGCGAGAGAGGAGATGGGCAACATCCTGAAGCTGGAGATGATGCCCACCGTGCCAACCACTGGCTCACACAACGCCACAAGCCAGCTCCTCTCAGCCCTGCCTGCTATGGCCTCTGAAGGACACACCTTCCCTGTTCTGAGCACAAATACAGAACTCAGGCAGACCAAGGTCAAGGCTGTCCAGGGGGAAGAGCCTCACTGCTGGAAACCCCAGGGGTGGTGGTGGGGGAGAGGCCTGGTCGCCTTCCTGGTGGCTCTGCACTCCCCTGCCACCTCTGCTGCTCTCCGAGTGCGGGCCCAGCCTCACAGATCTCCCACCCCTCCCCTCGCCCACCTTAGCATGAGTCTTTCCGGGCACAGTTCACAGGTCACAAACGACTCTGTCATCAAGGTCCCTCCACACTTGCTTAGTATTTGTGGTTGGCCCTTGTCGCTAAATCCCAGGAGGACTGGAACTAGTCTCGCCCCTCCCCTGGAGTGCCCCGGTCCCAGCACTGTGCCTGGCCCACAGCGCCAAACCAATCCTCTCTACTTGTTTCCAGCTCGGCAGGACCTCATGTGTGTCAGCGCGGAACTGTGGGCTTCCAAGACTGACTTGGGGGAAGTAGAATGCCAGGCCTTTCTTCCAAGGTGCTCTCAGGTAGACTTGAACTGCCAGCCTTTCCATTAGCAGCTACGCACATCACCCGTGTGTGCCACCCAGGGATCCGGGTCCCTAGTTGATGTCTAGTAAGCATTCACTGAAGGAGCACATGGTCCTCCCTGGGGAGTGCAATTTTAGGCCACTTGAATTCTTCTCAGAGGACCTGCATACCCTAGTTTTTCTTCAGTTGTTATGTATTGTTTGTGCAACTTGAAAAGGAAAAGGCGAAATACATAAGCAACATATATCTATTTGTAAAGCTGCTCAAGGTTTCTCTGAGCTTTGTGCTGAGCTGCGCCAGCCTTGTCGGCAGGCCCTCAATAGATGCACTGTTTCCTCCCCAGCAGAAGGTGAAGGGTGAAGGTTACAGCCTGAGAGAACAGCATTGTGCTGGGGTGGCACTGAGACCCTGTGAGCCCTCATTGCAGCCGGCAACGACAGAAGTGCTAGATCAGATTAGTTTTCCCCCCTCCTCCAGGGGCTTCTCAGGCCACTCCGATCCCTGCCCTCTCCCCAGCTACCAGGTGGAGGAGGTTTATTCTCAAAGGGTCAAGGATTCCTGGGAGTCAGCCCTCAACCACCAGGCAGAACGTTCCAACCCTCCCAGGGGAGCGTCTGAAGAAAAGCATCCACGCGGTTGCTGTGAGCTGGACGGGCCGACAGCAACTGACCGGACAAGGATGACTGAACACTCCGAAGGCACGGCTCCGTTCCCCCCAGCCCACGGCAGCCCCACACTGCAGCCAGAGCTCAGCAGAGCCGGGTCTCCATCCTCCAGCTCAAGGCTGCTCATGTGCTGACTCTCCAGCATCCCCCCCCCGTTAGGATGTGCGCGGAGAAATGCATGGAGTCCTGACTGGGCTAGGCACTGGGGGCCACTTTCCCACATCCTCACAGGGGCTCCGGGGCTTCCCAGAGGCAGCGGCGGTAAAGTGGGGTGAGGGTAAGGGGGTAGCTGAGGGCCACACGCCAGCTTAGCGATTACCTCAAAGCACATTTCAAAACCAGCAAAGATTTTTTGAGATTCCTGGTGTTGTGCTGTAACATCTTCCCTTCTCCCTGATCCCGGGATGTCCTCAGGAAAGCCCCCACCAAGCACCACCGCTCAGCTGCGGCCGCACGGACAACAGATGCCAGCCTTCAGGGAGGCAGACAAGAGCCACAGCACCCTCTGACAATCTCGATTCCCCAACGGTATGCTTTTGTCACCTTTGTTCTGTGTTTAAGGAGTCCTGGTGGCATAGTGATTACGAGTTGGGCTGCTAACCACAAGGCCAGCAGTTTGAAACCACCAGCCACCCTGCAGGAGAAAGATGAGGCTTTCTATTCCCAATGTTACAGACGTGGAAAGCCACAGGGGCAGATCCACTCTGTCCTACAGAGTCGCCATGAATGGGAATCGACACAAGGGCACGAGCTTGTTCTTCTGGGGCTGGGCTCTGCGTTTGTGTGCTTTTCCAGGACCATTATAAGTTAGGGTGCAGATACGACATCCACTCACACATACTGTAAATACTTCCACACCATCTCTTGAGAATAAAGCCATTGTCGTACAGAATCAAAATACCATTCTCAATCCTTTGAACATTAACATGAGATTCAGGATGTTCTACCATTCAGTCCATAGCGGAGTTTCCCCAATGGTCCTCTACATGCCCACTACAGCCTCTGCTGTTTCCGGACTCAGAGAACGGTTATTTCTCTTCAGTCTCATCCCCGCTCCACACCACCAAGCCCCTAAACCTCCTTAC